TTCTTTTGGGAAACAGGATACTTTTCATGCTTTAAATGAAAAACCCTTTCATCAGTCACTTCACTGCTTTCTGAGTAGATAGAGGTTTGATTGGGAGTACAGTCAACTCAGCCTCCTTTCAAGTTGACCTCAGGACCCTTAATCCATAAGGATGTAATACCGAAGTTCTGAAAAAAAAAACCCAGTAACGAGACCCATAAATTTTCTGGGAGAGTGTCTTCCTCTTCCCTTGACATCTTCCCTGCCTTTTACTGGTGATCGGATTTTTTGAGGGGCAACCATGGTGTTATAGCTAGAGCGATGGACCTAGCACCAGGAGAGGCCTGAGTTCAAATCCCATTTCTGATGATTACTAACAGTGTGACCAAGGGTAAATCATTTAATTAATGAGGATAATCACGCCTGAAGAGCTTACTTCCTAGTACTTGCTGACAGTCTCAATGGGATAATGTGTTTAAGGCACTTTGCTAACTTTAAGATGTTGTAAAATGTCAGTCATTACTAATGATACCCCGACAGTAAAGCCCTTCCAGTATTCAAAGAGACATAGTCACTTCCACATGATTATACCAATTTGATCCAATTCCCCCTTTTTCTGCAAGGTAAGCTTTTATGAGCAGGGGCCAATGAAGCAAAAATATCAGTTAATCTTTAAACTGAATTCGTGTGCTATGTTACAGTTTGTGGGAATAAAGAACCCTGGCTGCCCTTTGGGAATTACCGGCTGACTGGTGGGACTTCCTCTTTAGCTGAGGCACAGGCTGGGTCATTAAAACACTTTAGAAAGCACCTGGTTGGGGAACGGATGATTGCAATAGACCAGCGTGGATTCAGGAAGGGTAAAAAGGATGCTCTTGAACTTGTCAGAAGTCCTTGAAAGGAAGCAATGGATAAAAGGGACCAGTGGCTATAATTTATTTAGATTTTCCTGAGGCTTTTGATAAAGTCCTTCATAAGAAGGAAACTTGGTAACCATGGAGTGAACTGGGTGTAGTGCTGTCAAGGATTAAAACCTGATTAAGAGATGGAAAGCCTGGAGTTGGAAATAGATTTTTCAGCATGGCTGTTTCAGGGCCCACAAAGGAATCTCATCAACACAGCCTGTAATTTCTGAGTTTTGGGATTTGGGGGACAATAAAGTTCCTCCCCGCTTTCTGTTTTGGTCTCTGTTTCTCTATGTTTCCAATTTGGAGAATACAGAGCCTTAAGCCGGAGGGATCTCATAGCTTGCTATCTTTTTTCCTTTCTCTTTTGAGATTATGGGATGTAGTCTTTAATTAACTATGTGACCTTAGACAAGTCACTCCCCTTCACTTGCTGGGCCTTACCTTCCTTATCTTTAAAAACGGTGGGTTAAGCTAGATTGGTCTTGAAATGATCAAAAGTAGTCTATAAATCCTTAAGCAAATCCACAGATAAGCAAATATATCTTCTGAATACTGAATAAATATTGTCACATCCATAAATGTATTACTGTTTTTCAAATAGATATGTATATGTACATATTTATACATATGCTAATGCGATTCATAAATAAAATCTCATTTAAAAGCATTGCTGAATTTGCAGTAGCTTTTTTTACATCATGCATCTTCTCCGTCAAAGATTCCATTAATTTTCTTTTACACGAAAAAGGGATTCATTCTTTTACTTAATGATTCCAGGATTTCAGCTCAGACATTATTCTACAGCCCAAGACCATAAAATCCTCTAAGTCGCTAGGAAAATTAGAATCATAACCACTTGAGGGACTTTAAATGATATGATAATGGTCCCAATAGAAGGCAGGGAAGGTGGTAACAGGGACCTTTGGAGTCACTCTAGGCAGAGCAGTGAAGGAGTAAAGGTAATCTTGCACCCCCTCTCCTGCTCTCCCCATCATTTAGAGCCTAGGTCTTTGGTTTGGCATTTTCATGGTTCCTGGATCTGCTGAGTGGGGAACCTCTCAGGTTTCTGCCAACTTATTTCCCCTTTAATCACTACCATGGCCCTACTCCATTGAATCTGACCTTTCCTATACCCTTTGTGTTAGGGTAAGACTTTTTAGGCTTACAAAGTAACGATGAGCTCATCTGATAAATTAATTCATGCCAATGTCCTGACAGAAGAGATGGAGAGTAGCAGCGCCCTCCCTCAGAGCCCAGGGAAATGTGTGCATTTCTGCAGTTGCTTTTTGGAGACAGTCTTCACTCACTTTGGTTTTTCAACACAAAGCAACATCTACTTTTGTAGTGGGAATTTCAGGCCAGGCAGGATCACAGATCATAGAAAACAGAAGCTGGGAATGATGTTGCAGAGGGTTTGGTCAAATCCCCACATTTTAACAGATAGGAAAACTGAGACCCAAAGAATGACAAGGTCAAGTTCATGTGGCTAGTTGGTGGCAGACCCAAGTCTAGAACCCAGATCTTCTGCTTCTCAGCTAAGCTTTCTTTTTATTCCTCCTCCTTAATGGGATAATTGTATCTGATTAGGGAAAGTTTATGCCATATGCATTTGCCTTTAAGATTAACAAAAGTTTAAATGAAACACTCATGCCTGAAGGGAGAGATCAAATACCACTGTAGGAAGCCAAGTCATCTGGGTTTTTTAGGAAGAATTGTTATTTTAACTAATGCGATTATTAGAGCTCACGTTCAATGAATAAGTCACATTTGTATAGCGCTTTCAGTTTTACAAAACTAGAGCAACCCAGGGAATAATATTATTCCCTACTTTATGGAAGAGAAAACTAGTGATTTCTTCATCATAGAGAAGAAGTAACTTAACCAAGGTGAGAAAACTAGAAAGCATGTCAGCCCGGGACTTGAATTCTAGCCCCCAACCTAAATCTAGTACCCTTTCTGCTCTCCCATGCTCATACTGTTACAGTGCTCCAAGGTTATGAAGAACTTTCCTCCTCACAACCCTGGGAGGCAGGTAGTGAAAATATTATTATAACTATTTTGGGGGATGATTTGTCCGAGGTCATAGAGCAAGTGAATGACAAAGTCCAAACCCAAGCCCTCTGTGACTTTCCATTACATCATGCTAATTCAACTATTGAATATAACCTTATTTTTAGAGCGCACCAAATTTCACCCTTTGAATGTAGCGTCATTCATGACTGCTTCAAGATGGAAGATAAGACTCTTGGGCAAATCTCTTAACTTCCCTAGGTCTCAGTTTCCACATCAGAAAAATGTATGATCTTATATTCTTATTATCTGATGAAACTAGCAAGGAGCAAGTCTTTTCTGTCCAGGTCGGGTCAATCTAAAGAATGACCTGCCTTGTCCCTCCCCAGGGAATCCCCTAAGCTTCTACAGTGATGTGACTGACCATCAGATTGGGGTCTGAATGAAAGGACTTTAGTGTGGGGCTCCGAGGCAACTGGTTACATTTACTTTGGACTAGAGAAGAGTGTATCTTGCCATCTTAACAAAGAAGTGAAGATACTGCAATGTTTAGATAAAGATCACAAGGAAAACGCAACTTACTGGCAATTGCTGTCTGCATTCATTTGTATTTTCTCAGTTCTGAACTTGGGTTGCATAGCTGAAGTTTTTCCGTTGAAAGGGAGGAGGTTACGGATCAAAAACTTAGCTTGATTATCTAAGGGTATGTGGTTCTCAACCCTGATTCTTATTAAACTGAATCATTTATAATTACAAAAAGGACTAGGCATATGGTACATGGGGCATTTGAGGAAAGCAGCTGTTTTCTTGTAAAAATTCAGTTGAATTCAACAGACACACATAATAATAGTAACAATAATTAGCACCTATGTAATAGTCGGAAGTTTTTCAAAGAATTTTTTGTATGTTGTCTTACAATAGCTGTAGGAAGTGCACGCTATTTTGATCTCAATTTTACAGATGAAGAAACAGAGGCTAAGAAAGGATAAATCACTTGCTAGTGGTCACACAGCCAGTAAGTGTCTAAGGCAGGGTTTGAACTCAGTTCTTCCAGATTCAGCACCCTGACCTATAGCACTGCCTACAGCCTACTAAGTGCCCATTCTGTATGCCAATGGGTTGGGTGTTTTAGGGGCTATGGAGATGAATGAGACCTGGCCATTGTGCCGGGCCACTCAAGGATATCCTTGAGTTCTGTGCAGAAGGCCATGGTTGACTGGGGGCTTGACGGCTTACTAGGGTTATTTGTTGGTTACGGTTTTTTTTTTTTAGTTTGTGTTTTATAGGAGAATAGGAAATCAACGTTTTGCTGAAATGAGCAGTTAAGAGTTTGAAGGTAAAGAGTCATATTGATTATGGGAAGTTTCCCAATCATCTTGCTCATTCTCTTAGCTTACAGAACTAGCCCTGAGCAAAATTGTGAAGTCGGTGAAATTTGGGTTTGGTACTCACCTGTTTTTCTTTCTTCAACTCCTTTGACACTTCCCTTTTGCTCCAATCCTTTCTCTTCCCTTCTCCACCCCTCATCACCCATAGCCATCCCATCTCAAGTGCCCAAAGCCCTCACCATCTAAAGGCTCCTGGGTTTACACTAACTCACGAAGGCAGCTGGGTGGCACCATCATGCATAGAGTGCCGGGCCTGGAGTGAGGAAAACGAGTTCAGATCTGGCCTAAGATACTAGCTATGTGAGGCCGGTAGGTGGCACAATGACTAGAGCACTGGGCCTGGAGTCAGGAAGACTCATCTTACTGAGTTCAAATCTGACCTAAGATAACTTTACCAGCTGTGTGACCCTGCACAAATCACTTAACCCAGGTTGCCTTGGTTTCCTCATCTGTAAAATGAGCCAGAGAAGGAAATGGCAAAACACTTCAGTATCTTTGCCAAGAGAATCCCAAATGGGCTCAGAATTGAACAACAGGTCAGCCACATCCTGTGCTCTGTATCTTTACACCCCACTCCGTCTCTCCCCACCCCTCCAATTTACCTACCCTGCTTTTCATTCCTGTGGGATCTTTTTAGGTACTGGCTAGTTGATCTAAAGAATTCACTTCCAGTATGTTAATGATTGATAATGGCTGACTGTGTTTCCCTTCCTAGATAACAAAGGAATTTGAAAAGCATCCTTCCCTGTTTAACCCCAAAGAGTGTGTAATGTGGGAATTCTAGTGGGAGACTTTCTGGGAGTGGGAAAGCTCTGTTCAAATCACACTTCACAGACACCTAACTCTTCCAGTTACTTGTAAGGTAAGCATTACTATTATGTTATTACTGATTCATTATTTTGCCTTACTTTAAAACAATTTTGCAAGACCAAACCACATAGAAAGATGTAAAACATTTTTGCTCATTCTTTCCTTCCCTCAATCAAAAAGCGTTTATTAAGCACATAAGTGCAAAGTCCCGAGCAAAGTGTTTAGGGAGATACAACGCTATATGACAGAGTGTCTACAATCTGGTGCTTCAGTGCTTTGATTGATTTCGTTGGTGTGGGTACACCCTTCACTCGTGCAGATAGCAATCCATCTGTGTGATTCTTTGCCATATTCTCTTATAAATCATCCATAGAGAGCCTACTAAATGAACTGGAGGCCTTTCTCTGGGTCTTTTTTATTTCAACAAACTCCAGTGCAACACATGAACTGTCCAGCTATTAACCCTGGCCCACTACAACACTTCTTGGGTTCAAGTCATTATTGGTGACATATTGTCACATTCTGATACCCATTATTCAGTTTTCTATTGCCCTTTGAGTAACTTGCAATTTTGATTCCTCTGACAGCATGATGTTCAATGTTTCAAAACCATACGCACCACTAGCAGAATATTGTTGCTTTAAAAAAATGCACGTTAGCAGCAAGTTAGCACAGTTGCAGATAATTGAATGGATTGTGTCATTTTCCAAATGTGATCCAACCCAATATCATCCTCCTGCTCAATTTTGGGTCCAGATACTTGACTATTTGCATTGGATGTCCAAGGTAAATGAGCTGATGGATTAACTAAGTAGGCTGCCATCTAGCTTCTTATCATATACAGGAAAATATGGACTCCTCACCCACTTTTTATTTTGCATGTGGTTGACTACGTTCTTTTTCGTGACTGTAGTTCTCATTGAGAAGGCTCTAGAGTGTTCACAGTTCAGTGTAATCAGAAAGATGGTACCCCAAAACAGGAACACTAACCTCAACACTAATAGAGAATACTTCGTTTTGATTTGTGCAAGGCTACCCACCATGAGAGTTCTGAACACCAGTGGTGAGAATGTCTTCTTTTTTTATGCCTAATATCCATGTACCGTCTAAAGACATAGAAGAAAGATTCTGTGAAGAATTTATGTGAAGGCATAGGCGAGAGTGGCATATCGTGAGAAGGCATGGACGACCTGCCATCTGCGCTGTTGGAGGGAGCTATCAATGAGGGATTCAACATGGTGGAGCAGGGTATTGGATTTGGAATCAGGAAGATATGAGTTCGAATTCCACCTCAGACACTTACTAGTTGTGGCCCTGGTCAAGTCATTTCACTTCACTGTGCCTCAGTTTCCTCATATGTAAAATTAGGAAGTTGGAATCACAGGTCTTTTAGATCTTTTCCATCTCTAAAGCTACAATCCTATGAGATGATAGAACCACTGAAATACCAAATGGATTGCCTTGGCCAAATAATTTGTCATTAAGTGGCCAAACTGCTTGCAATGAGTTTTTCTGTATTTTGATAGGTTGTTTATTAGATTGCAGACATACTCTATTCTGAGGTCTAGTCCTGAAGCCTTTCTAGCTTTGATATGAACTATGAAGAGCTGAGGAACAACTTCACGTTACATTTAGTAACATTGGGGAAGGACTTTTGAGGAGGTGGCGATAAATCACATGCACAGATAAAATAAAAACTGTGCTTTTATGTAAGCATAAGAAGAACATAAAGTGGTATGAGATTAGCTGAGGGAGAAATAACTTCCAGCTGAAGAGATCAAAGTGTTGCATTGTATTACCAAATAGAATCTATTTTGTTAGAATTTTCCTTCCAATCTGTTTTTGAATGACAATTAAATCTATGGCAACATTTATGACTTATCAGTAGGAATCTGACATCTCATACATGAGGTTTAGGACTTTTTGTAGTTTTGAGAAGTAGGGAAAAAATCATAGTTCTGACACTACCAAAATGTTATTACCATAGGAGTAAATTTACATTTTGCTTACTTTTAGAGATGTTTGTGATGTGTATTGGGGGAATTATGAAAGCCATTCAACCCTAGTTCCATTTCAAAAGAGCAGTCTATTTTGTTCCAGATTTTTCAGTTAATTAGTGTGACCCTCTCTCTTTCCTAAGGATAGTGTGAGACATATAAAAAAAGATTCTTGAATATATTAAAGAAAAAAGATCAAAAACCTGATCCAGATTGTTTCAAACAATCATTTACACATTTTTTTTTAAAGAGAAGAAAGGCACATCACCAAAATCCTTTAATGAAACACATACAGTCCTGACACAAACTAGAGAAAGACAAAATAGATAAAGAAAATAACTAACAAATACTGATTTTGTTTGTAACAAGTTTGTAACAAATACTGAAAAATACTGAAACATTGAAAAATAATAAGAAAAACAAATACTGACTTGTAACAAATACTGAAAAAATATTCACTATGGCTAATTTGATTTTATACTAGGAATAAAAGGATGATTCAGCACTAATAATCCTTTTAGCATAATTAATCATTTTGATAAAAGTCACATGATTGTAACAATAAATACAGAAAAATCTTTTGAAAAGTACAGCACTAATTTTTGCTGAAATGCTAAAATAGTGAATGAATAAAATGAATTTTCCTTAATACCGTCAAAATAATTTATCTAAAATCAAGAACAACCATTATTCATAATGTAGAAACACTTCTAGCTCACCCAGTAAGATCAGATATGAAGCAAGTGTTCCTGCTGTTTTCATTGTTAGTTGACATAGTGCTATAAATGCTAACTTTAGCAAAATGACAAGAAAATAAATTAAAGGAATAAGCAAAGGCAAAGAAGAGGAAAAACTATTTCCTTTTACAGATGACATGGTTGTTTGCTTGGGGAATACTAGACTATCAACAGAAAATTAATCAAGACATTGTCTTGATACTTAATAGCTTCAGTAAGGTAGCAAGATAAAAAATAAATCCATGAAAAATCATCATTATTTTTGCTTATTACTAACAAAATCCAGGAGGATGAGATAAGAAGATAAATTCCATTTAAGATATCAACAGAATACATTGAATATTTAGGAGTTAAGTTACCAAAACACTTACAACACATACAGATTTTGGAGCTATTCCCCCAATTACAGCCTCACTGGCAAGTTGAGTTTCCAAAGTTCAACTATTATGTTGTCTAGGGACTCTAGGTATAGAGCCTTGAAGGGTTTGGAGACAGATTTTTAATGTTATATTCATGAGCCCCCATTGGTGTGCTTTTCCCTAATTATCAGTTGCTACCAATTAATCAACCCAGCTTCACTGGCTCTTAGAAAGGGATATTTATTAAGGTGGTATACATGGTACAAAACATCCATTTGAAAGTCTGTAACCACTCTCTCACCAGTACACACATAATTCAGAGAAAAATCGGCTCAAGCTTAGAGAACAAATGGGGCAAATGGATAAACAAACTTCTGGATATCCTTTTTCTGGACTCTTCAAAAATGCCTTAGGTATGCCATAGATTTTGTTGGGCTTCTTGTAAAGCCTTGAATCCACCTCTCCCCAACATACCCAGTCTCTCTTTGCCTCCTGATATAGACAATACAGATGTTGTGGTTCTTGGGACATGGCTAGGATGCTAATGAAAAAGTCCAAATACTTTCAACCTTCTGAAGTTCACAAGGTCCTCTTTTGGTCATGTGGGAGGAAGGGAATTAAGGTCTTAGCCTCAGCCTCAGTTTCAGTTTCCTACTTCTCATCTCTCAAGTAGCTCTCAGTGGCTGGAGCTTTCTGCCTCTTACCTACTAGATGTTTGTATCCTCAATTCCAAATGAGCTTCATGGGTTATATAAGTCCCAACAGAGCATAATCAAGTTTTTCAATCAATCTGAAAAACAAAACAAAAAAATTCTTATAGTATGCACTTGAAATGCCAAGTTTGAACAGAGATGTCCAGGCTTTATTCACACCTAGTTCACACCTTTATTTGATTCAGTTGAGATATATTCTCACCAAACAAAATATCACCATAGTGATTTGTCACTTATTTTAGGTTGACACAATCAACTTTCCCCAACCCTCTCCAGGCTCCTCACTCATTGGACTTCTGTAAATATAACTACAAAGCAATTTTTACATATGTAAAAGAAGACGTCAATAATTGTAAGATAGTTAGTATTCATGGCTAGCATGTTTCAATATAGTAAAAAGGATAATATCCAAATTACTTATACAAATTTCAATGATGAATTTTTAAATACATATAGAACAGAAGAATTAAAAAAAAACAGATCATCTTAATAACATAAATAAAATAAATATTTCTAGAATCAGAAGGAAAAATACAGGTTGGGAAATTTTCATTAAATATTTCTGATAAAAGACTGATATAAAAATATCTATATGGAAGTCATACAACCATATAAGACTAAGTAAGACTCATTCCCTATTACACAATTGGTGAAAGCTTGTGAAAAAAGTTTTCAAAAGAAAAAATGCAAACTGTTTTCAACCTTCTGAAAAGTCGTTCAAAATCACTTTAAATAAAAGAATGCAAATTCGAACAACTCAGCTTTCCTCCCACTACCACCAAATTGACAAAAATGATAGAAAAAAAAGAGCAAAGGGCTAATGCTGGAGAGTCTGGAGAAAGACTAGTATACCAATACACTGTTGTGAATTGATCCAATCCTTTTGGGAAACATTTGGAATTATGTGAAGAAAATGACTAAACTGCTCGTAACCTTGACTCAGAGATATCACTCCTGGGCCTATATGCCAAGGAAGTCAAAGACAGAAAGAAAGGTCTCATTTATTACAAAGTATTTTGTGGTATGGAAGGGCTGAAAACAAAGTGGGTTCCTTTCTACTGGAGAATGACTAACCAAGTTATCGTATGTGAATGGAATTAAATATTATTGTGCCATAAAAATTATGAATATGAGGAATACAGAGAAACCTAGGAAAACTTGTATGAATTGGTACAGGAATGAAATAAGAAACATGAAGAAACAATACATACAACTATGAAGACAATATAAACTAAAAAAACAATAAAATGTATGATCATGATTATCATCATCATGGTTGTTATGCTAAAATATAGTAAAAATAATAATAGTCAAATTACTATATATATATACTGTATTATACTGTACAAATTACTATACTGTGCTGAAGGAGGCAGGGACTGTAGGAGAATGTTGAATATGCAACATAGTCACTGTGTCTGTTGGTTTCACTTCAGTTTTTTTTTTTTCTTATAAGAGGAGGCTGGATGAGAGGCAAGAAAAGAGTATATTCAGAAATAATTCTTTTTTTCCCTTTTTAAAAATTTTATTAATTTATTTTGATTTATCAATAATCACTTCCATATGCTTTTGAGTTTAAAATTTTTCTCCCCCTTCCTCCCCACCACCCTTCCCAAGACAGCGCATAGTCTGATATAGGCTATACATTTACATTCCTATTAAACATATTTTCACATTAGTGGTGTTGTAAGTCAAAAATTAAAACCAGTAGGAGGAACCATCAGAAAGAGGAAACAAAACTCAACAGAAGAGAAAAAAAAATAGCAATTCAACCTCCATAGTTCTTTCTTTGGATGTGGATAGCATTTTCCATCATGAGGCCTCTGGAGATGTCTTAGATCCTTGTATTGCCAGGAAGAGTTAAGTTTATCACAGAAATAATTCTGATATAAAAACAAAAGTTAAAAACTTTTGTATGTTTTTTTAAAAGCAAAATAACGAAATCAATCTGTTGAGGCTCGAGGGGAATTACTGACAGATCTCACTACTCATCCCTTATACTAGATCATTCTCCATTTTCTGTGTTAACCTTATTGTCACTTCTTTTACTGATGAAAATATTGACACTTTCCTTTCTCCATTTCGGTACTGACCCTGTGGAGAGAAAAGCTGCTTTTAGGCAGAATGGTTTGGGTACTTCTCCTCTTGTTGTGTTCAATCTGTTACCCCAACCCACCTTTGTCTGTTTCTGCATGCATCTCTCATCCGCAGGCACTATGTCAACTAATGATGCCAATCTGAACACCCAATCTTCATAGGTTCATGAGTTTATTGAGAAGCATAATTGGTGAACTTGAAGTCATAGGACCTCAGTTTGAATCACTACCCAGCCACATATTTATTACCTGTGTAACTTTGGGCAAATCACTGCACCTGGCTGGGTCTCAATTTCCTCACCTGTAAAATGAGGGGATTGGGTGACATGATGCCAAAGATCCCTTCCAGTTATAACCTTCTATGATTTTTCCGTGAACAATATTTGCGAGAGAGTGAAAGCCTTCTATACTGCATAGGTAGCTGCTTACACTCCTATACTGTCTAACATAAAGGAAGTGATGATGGCGATGATGATAATGATGATGATGATGATGATAGATGTAATTTAATCTTTCTTCATTGATTCATCAGGCATTTCAGAATTATGTCTCCTAGTGAGCATGAATTCCCATTGTATAGCACTGTAAACCAGGAGGTAGAGGAGAATATATAGTAACTACAGGGAGTAAATACCGTGGATGGCGTTGCTGTTGTAGTTCCTTTATTCTTCCATTATTCCAATGGCATCATGAGCGTGATGTCTTGACTTGCATGTGAATTGGATTTAAGTGAAGCAGAGCTGTGTGATGTTGTCAGAATCCTTGACACCAGTTTGTCCACATGTTTTCTTGTCCCTTTTCTTAAATGTGAGCTTTTCTGGCCCCCTTGACCAAATAAATGGGAATTTCCTCTATTTTTTGAATTTGGATTAAATGGGAATTTCCACTATTTATTTTTGCGAGGAGTTCTGCTTGAGCAGAATTCTCTATGTTTCTAATGATATTTGTACCTTGAAAATCATTAGCTTTTGGGGAATTTCTCCCATTGCTCTGTGGGGCAACCTCATGGGCAACTGAATGAAGTTGTAGTGATAGGTCAGGAGGTTTGGGCCCTTCCAGGTGAGGCATCTTATAGAAATGACACAGAACAGAAGAATTCTCCAAGGCCTTTGCCAGCCTGTCCAGAACCTAGGGAGGACCAACGGTACTCTTTCACTTGAGGGTATATTCACTACTAAATTAGTAGTCACACTAAATTAGTATGAGGACCAGAATTGAGCAGATGAGAGTTTCTGGTATATGGTTCTAAAGTCGCATTGTCTTTTACACCTATCATCGCATGTTGCCAAATAAAACTTGAATTACCTATGTTTAGTGTGGAGTTACAGATTATTTTTAAAACATTGTGTAGTATATAGAAGAACAGATGGTTTGGGGCTTAGTCCTAAAGAACACAGGCCTACCCTGGACTCTCAACTCAAATAAATCCAGGCTGCTCAGCCTTCAAAGAAATACTAAGTGGCAGCATGGACTGCTGAGCCGTCAGGCAGAGGGCCCAATGGGGTGCTGTCTTTGTCTTCAAAGGCCGGCTCACTTGCCTCTTCCTCTCTGAGGCTTTTCCCGATTCCCTTGACTGCTGTGCTCAGACCCCAACTCCTTGAATTTACTATTGGCTTCTTCTATATTTTCTATTTACCAGTATGTGTAAGTGTTGTTTCCCTTGATAGAACTGGGACTGTTTTATATTTTTCTTTTTCTTTGTATCCCCAGTATCTGGCAATGTGTCTGACATTTATTAGGCGCTTAATAAATGCTTATGGATTGATTCAATGATTGCTTTGGGCCCTGAATATAATATTTTCATGTGTACAGATCTGAGAACCAAGTTTTAAAAAGAAGGCTTGAAAAGCCTTATTCAGCTCTTTGGCCTTTTCTTCATAGACCATTTTCCTTCACCCCATTAAAGTTGGGAGCTGCACTTGGACAGACTAGTGAAGGGTGATTTAAAATGGAGTACACATATGGGAATCAGAGGCAGCTAGGTGGTTCAGTGGATAGAGTGCTGGGCCTGGAATCAGGAAGACAGGTTCAAATCTGTCCTCAGACACTTACTAGCTGTGTGACCCTGGGTAAGTCACTTCACCTCTGTCTCAGTTTTCTTATCTGTAAAGTGAGCTGGAGAAGGAAATGGCTAACCACTCCAGTATCTTTGCCAAGAAAACCCCAAATGGGGTCATGAAGAGTTGGAACAACTTAAAAACAACAATAACCACCTCTGAATCCAAATCCAGAATTCTTTTCACCATATATCCCAGCCACCTCACTATTAAAACCTGTGGCCCCAAAGCTACACATGGGGTTTATACAGATTGGGCTTAATCTTGAAGGTTTCTTGATAATAACAACATGTTTTTGGCTCATGCCCCTCACTTAGTGTTTCTCAGGAATTTGGTTCACGTGTAGGACTTTGCAAAAAAAAAAAAAGCGAAAGGGCCTGATAGTTGTCTTGCAGGCACTTAGGCTAACAAACAATTGAATATTGGAAAAGCTTGATTTTACCCGGAAAATAATCACCAACATAAAACATAAAAGGGTTTTCACTAGAGCTCACAAACCCTCACAACATTTCTCCTTCCTTCTTGAATGAGTCCCCACTCCTCCAAAGAGCTAAACAGTGCTTCAGACTTATAATAGTACCCTGGGGTACAAGGTTTCTAGAGAATCGAGCCCTTTCTTCCAGGCCTGCAGAGTTCACATAATGGAAACTTATCAGTGAAGGGCAAAAAAGTCCAAGTTGGGGCCTCTTCACATTGGCTCTGATGCTTGCTGCTTTTGTTGGATCCAGGAAGTTAGCACTGTCCAGGGACGCCTCTTCTGGGACCAGGAGGCTGAGCACAAGAACTTGGCATTGTCTAGGAACTCCTCTGGGTCCATTTGATTCGGTACAGGGATCCCTCTACCCTGCCGTTCCTTGTTTGCTGGGTCACTGATGCTGATTTGCATTTGTGCCGTGCTGGTGTGGCCCAGAAGAGCCTTTCTGGTACTCTTTTTGCCATCAGGTAGTTCTGTAAAACAGCTGGTCCCCTAAAGCAGACGTCAAAGGGTCATATAACATCATAACCTTGATTATGGGTAACTGGAGTCTGTCTGCGTCCAACCAGATCCCTCCCCCTTAATATTATTTTATTTTTTCCAATTACATGTAAAAGTAGTTTTCAACATTCACTTTTATAAGGTTTTGAGTTCCAAATTTCTTTTCTCCCCCCTCCCCAACACAGCAAGTAGTCTGATATAGGCTATATATATGCAATCATATTAAACATATTTCCACTTTAGTCATGTTGTGAAAGAAGAATGAGAACAAAAGGGGAAAAAAACATGAGAAAGAAAAAACAAAAACCGAAAAGAGAAAATAGTATGGTTTGATCTGCACTCAGATTCCATATTTCTTTCTCTGCATGTGAATAGCATTTTCCACCTTGAGTCTTTTGGAATTGTCTTAGATCATTGTATTGCTGAGAAGAGTTAAGTCTCTCAAAGTTGGTCATCAGACAATGTTGCTGTTACTGTGTACAATCTTCTAGTTCTGCTCACTTCACTCAGCATCAGTTCATGTAAGTCTTTCCAGGTTTTTCTGAAATCTGCTTGTTCATCATTTCTTGTAGAACAATAGTATTCCATTACATTCAAATACCACAACTTATGCAGCCATTCCTCAATTGATAGGCGTCCCCTCAATTTCTAATTTTTTGCTACGACAAAAAGAGCTGCTATATTTTTGTACATGTGGGTCCTTTCCCCTTTTTTATGATCTCTTTGGGTTATAGACCTAGTTGTGGTATTGCTGGATCAAACGGTATGCATAGTTTTATAGTCCTTTGGGCATAATTCCAAATTGCTCTCCAGAATGATTGGATCAGTTCACAATTCTACCAACAATGCATTAAAATTCCAATTTCCCTATATCTTCTCCAACATTTATCATTTTCCTTTTTTGTCACATTAGCCAATCTGGGAGGTGTGATGTGGTACCTCACACCAACCAGCTTTTTTTCTCTGTCCATCTCAGTCATGGTCTCTTCATCGGACTTTCTCTGCTCTTCTTCTGACATGCCAAGTCCAAGGATGTGAACTGTAAAGCTTAATTGGTCTAGAGATGGAGAAAACCACAGAGGCAATCTAGTCCAACCCAATGAGACTCAATGGGGTTAAATGACTTGCCTAAAGTCATGCAAGTAGAAAACATCAGAAGATAGACTTGGAACCTAGGTCTTCTAACTTCAGAGTCAATGACTTTTCCATTGTACCCTGTAATCCTTAATTCAGTATAATATAAGCTCATTGAGGGCAGGTATTATTTCACTTTTGTGTTTTTCTTCCCAGAATCTACTATGATTGTTCCTGGCACATAGAAATTACTTAATAAAAACAGCTAATATTTATATAGGCTTTAAGATTTTCAAAGAATTTTACAAAGCTCACTTAATTAAATGCTTGTAGATAGATTTTTTTTTGTTTACATCGAAAAAGGCAGTAACCAGTGCCAGGTGAGTTCACAGCTTATCAAAGAGTTAAAGAATGATTCAGGAGGGTCTTACCAGGCTCCTTCTTAGCATGCCCCAACTGTAATTTCCTATTAAAAGACCCAGGGAGGGAAGTAGGAGAAGGAAAATTGATTAGGTAAATCAGTGAGTTCACTTATGATTCCGCTCTATGAGTCACAGTGCAGATTTTGGTAACATTTTGCATTTTATAACAACCTTGCATCATAGACACTGCAGGTATTATTAACCAGATTTTGCAGATAAGGAAACTGAGGCCTGGATTATTTAAATGAGTTGTCTTTGGTCGAAGTGGTAGTTGTGCCAGAAGCCAAAATTCAAACCTAATTCTTCTATCTGTATGTCTAGAGTCTTTCCTGCCACCCCAACACTGCTGGAAGCCTGCGGTCAGGAAGACCTGAATTCAAATCTGGCCTCAGACAGCTGTGGGAAGTCGTTTAACCTCTGTCTGCCTTCGTTTCCAAATCTACTTTATGGGGTAAGTTGTAAGGATCAAATGAGATATTTGTAAAGCATTTAGGGTAGTGCTTGGCATACAGTAGGTACTTAATAGATGTTTCTGACCCTGTGATTATCTTCGGAAAAGTCACATTACCTCTCTGGGTCTCGGTTTCCTTACCTGAAAATAAGGAAGCTGGACCAGGTGAACCTTTAGGCTCTGATGTTCTATAATTGGTTCTTCAGCATTTTTGGGATGTCTTGCCTCAGGAAAGAGTAGTCATCCAGTTCACTACTGAGAGTTGTGGTTGGAGTTTTATTTATCAACTCTAATCATTTGTTTGTATGATTTCATCTCTTCTGCCCTCATTAGTCATTAGTGTCAAGAGTTAAAGAAAAAACATGTTTGACTTTCACAGTTGTGAAGTTCAGCTCGGCTCAATAAATATCTTTCACACACTAACGCTAGCAATCAAAACACAGGCTATCACTTAATTTAACAAATAATTACCCTTCTGTAACAGAGGGATAAACAGAATTCCGTCTTATGAATTGCTAATTGTTTTTCACTTGGGGGATGATAGTTCCTGTTCAGGTCTTTAGTGATAAAGATATGGATAACTGCAGCTGGAATCACCTTCAGGATCATTTGTCCAAACTTCTCGTTTTATAGATGAGTAAAATGAGGCCCAGGATGATGTGATTTGACTTACTCAAGATATGGTAAAAGAATTTTGCCAGAAGGAGGCAGGGTGAAATCTTCAAAAAATCCGTGGTGTCTTATTTACCTAAACCAGTGGGGCCATATTGCATGCTAATTCAACTATTTAATGCATGCCATTTCTTCCTTCTAGGCAAGGGAAAGATGAGAGAGATTGTCAGTTAGAAAGGGATGTTTAAGAGATAGAGAGAGGGCTCAGCTGCTGGGGAATAAGGGAAAGTGGTAACAAAAATCGCTTCTTAATAGTTTTAGCTTGCATCATATGATCCAGTACAGGGATGTGGCCTTTTGACCGAATGGGATCAAGTCAAAGAAACTATATCTTAAGGATCTAGAAGGCCACATGTGGCCTTAAGGCTGCAGGTTCCCCACCCCTGATCTAGCAGGGAAGGGTGCTGGACTAGGAAGGAGCCACAAGAACTGGTTCTAGTCTTGTCTCTGTCCATGCTCAAGTCTCTTTGCCCCTCTGAGATTCCTCATCTGCAACATCAAAATAGCATCGAGGAAAGTAGGTCATAGAGAGGTGACCTCAGAGCTGCAAAGACCCCCAGTTTCAGATTTTTGCATCTGTTGTCAAATATAGTCACTGTGTTTTGTTAAACTTTTTTCTTTGTTGTGAGAGGGTTGTATGGGGGTATGATTATTGCAAGTAGCTTTGCAGTAAAAAAAGCATAATGCAAAGTATTTATAATATATTTTTAAAAGCAAGAAATGCATGTTGTAACTAGCTCTCTCCCCATCTTTGGGATCACTTTGAATTGTGTTCCTGATTATTCTTCAAGCTCATCATGTTCCTTTCCGAGTTTTCTGTTCTTTTCCCTACACTGAAATGTCGGGTTTTTTTTTCCATTGGTTTGCTCCTCTCTTCTTTCTTTTGTATTTGCCTCTTTCATTCAAGAAGCACGAAAGTCCCTTTTGCCTTTCAGTTAATAGAGAAGAAAAGTAAACATGAGGTTTTGGCCCTTCTTTCTCTTCCAATGACTTTTCTTCCATCTCTATTTTCTACCTGCCAGATTTGTCAGTTTCCTTCTGGTGTTCTAAAATCCAAGAGGAAGATGCTATCCTATCTTGCTCTATCAGTATTTTGCATCTCCAGGTCCCTAGGCTAGAACCATTAGAGAAAGTCTAGTATAGAGGAAAGAAGGTATGCCTTGCAGACAGAAAAACCAGGATTCAAATTTTGCCTCTGACATATGTAACTGTGGTATCTATTCTGAGCAAACCATTTAACTTGGTAGTTCTCCTGGCACTCCTGATGTTACCGGCAACTTGACTTGGCAGTCTTATCAATAGAGGGAGTTTCTTGGCACTGCTAAAATCACCGGCCCAGTCCCCTTCCCCCCAGTAAAAATCCCAGTGTCCCCTCAATCCCTCCAAAGTTTCTTGCCCACCTTGATTGTCTTTCACTCTGTTTTTTAGCCTTTCACGCTCCATAGCTCTTATCCAAAAGATCCATGTGTCTGCCATCTATGTGACATTTCAAAATTGACTTTGTTTGATTGTCTCTTTATATCAGGATACTAGGTATTGCCTATTAGCTTTTCGAAGTCTTGAAATAAAACATGTACCAACATATGTGTCTTGTTTTTAAAGTAATATTTTATTAGAATAAGTCAAACCAGAAAACCCCATGCTCCATCATTTTTCGAGTTTGCCTGGAACGCCCAGAAGTCAGGCTTCCCACATTTCTCTAGCACTAAGCCCTTTGGGCCTCTATATACCAGCACTGAAACAACAGAGGAAGTGATGCTCACTTTGGGGCATCTGCTGTCTTTACAGCTAATGTTTAAGACTGAACATTTGGTCAGCAAATCCCATATTATTTCCAGATTTCTTGGACATAAAGAGAACTTTCTTTACTGGCCTTCAAAAAACCACTGAGCTAATTCCTTAAGGACTCATTATAATCAGATCATCGAAAACCAGAGCTTGCATCTTGCAATCTCATGTGAATATTTGCTTTTCAAGAGCAGCCAGGCCTGAGGTATCTTCATGCCTCCAAAGGCACAGGTCAGGTGGTTGAATCAAATAGCCACCTGATTCTCACGTCCCAACAACGAGCTGTGAGCTGTCCGTTGTAAGCAGAAGCTGAAATTTGCTCTCTTCCCCCACCCTCTCTCCCCCAAGCCCTTTACTCCTTGCTTTTGGAAAGGCACTAAAGTCTATTCCCCTCCCCGTCTCTCACACTTTTGCTGCTGTTAATCATAGCTTTGTGTTGGAGTTGAATGGACAGGTGGCTGGACAGGGGCCTGGGCACATTCTCCTACCATGTGGATGGCAACTTGTGCTTGCTGAATCTCATTAAAGAGGATGCAAAAACATGCCCTTTGGAGCCAAGAAGGGATTAAAATGTAAACCCTGGCAGGGAAGCTCATTCATCAGGCAAACCCAGGGAGGTGGGGGAGAGATCCACCCTTTCCTTGAAAGTCTTAGTGAGGACCTTGCTTTGCACTTAGCTGGCAGCTCATTGAACAAAGACCAGAATAAAAAAAACATTCCTAATCTGGCCAAAGGAGCCCAATGGGGATGTGAAACCCTGCCGAGCTGATAGCCTCTGGAGGTGGAGTGATCGGGCCTGGCTCTCCAAAGTACGATTTGGCATCTATTAGTTGGTTATGATTTAATTCAGCAAGCATTAATTAAGCACCTCCCGTACTGATGCTGGGGAATACAAAGACGAACAACGGAAAGCAACCCTTGCCCTCAAGGGGTTTATAGTCTCCTGGTGGAGAGGGGATTTCGCATGCACAGAGATAAGTAAATACCGGCTAATTGGAGGAATGGGAGAATATTTTTAAAAAATCTTTTTTAAGTGAGGGGATGCTCAGGAAATGCTTTACGTAGATGCTGGCCCTCTAGGTTGTTCTGAAGGAAGCTAGAGGTAGGTGAGGAAAGAATGGATTCCGGGCGTGGGGCGGGGATGGAAAAGACGGGGGCAGCTTGGGTAAAAGGAGATAAACTGCTGGGCATTATTAAAATGCTCAGACCCTGAACCGAGTACTGTTTTACAAGGCAATATGTGCAAATGTGTATATCCCTTTAAAAAACAAAACAAAATAAAAACCTGCCCATCCCAAACCCCCCACCCACCCACAGTCACCAACAATCTCCAACAGCTAAAAAGCTGGACACTCAGGAGCAACTGGTAAAATACCTTTGAAACCCTCCTCCTCCCCCTCCTCCCCCCTTCCATCTCTAATCAGGAGACTCAAATCCCCAATCTGAGTCAAGAGCTCGGGGAGAGGCAGACGGGGAGGACACATTGGCAGGCATAGATGTATCAGTGTCACCCTTGGAGATGTTAGATTATTGACCCTTCCCTCCCCCCGATTCATTATTAAAAATTGCTGCTGTCAGAAATTAAATTCAGTTGTATAATATGGAGGGATGATCATAAATTCTCATTTCTTCAGGCACCGGGGGGGATACATGTGACAAGATTTCGATTCTCTTCAATTTATGCTTTTAATACATTTCCCAGCGTCTCCCCAGCTCTCTCTAATCAGCTGGGCTTGTGTTCCTCCGTGATTCTCCACCAGCATTACTGGTAATTACCGGCGCAAGGTTCACGCCAGTGAATTCAGCTGGGATTGACCAGGAGTGTGTTCAAGCTTGAGCCCATAGCCGCCTAATCCAAGGTCCCCCTCGTAAATGTTTTCTTTGCTTGGAGTCTTCGGAGAGGGTTTTGGGTCCTGTTCCAACCCTGCAGAGGGGCTGGAGGGCAAGGCGGTTTCCTCCTGGAAGTTCATGGCCAGTTCGTCGTGCGTCACAATGCAGTCTGTGTCATCCTCCTTCAGATGATCCTGGGGGTTTGAAAAGGTAAAGGGGTTCACAATAAAAGCAAAACATATCCGGACACACTTCCTCACTCCACCTCCCCCGGCGCTCAAGAAAACTCAAGGGGAGTTTTCCTTCCCAATAGACCAGAATGCTTGCTGTGAGATCGATAAACTTTCCTTCTTTGGGAAGGATCCCCATTTCTCTCTCTTCCATTTCTGCCTCCGTGGGTAACAGCATATGGCATTATCATCCTCATTAAAATGGATCCTTAAAACTCAACTTGTCAAAAAAAAAACAAGAGAGAAAGTAAAGTGTAGTACCATCCTATGGGAGTAGGAGACCACCTATGGGATACGTATAATTAAATTGAATAAGTATTTATTAAATGCCTCTGGGCTAAAATCTGAGGTGGGTGCTAGAAGTGAAAAAACAAAAACAAAACTCTCCCAGTTCTCAAGAGACTTATTATATTCAGTCATTTCATTAGTATCACATGGGTAAAGCTGCTTCGAAGGTGGTTAAAATTGAGTTCGCTGGACATGTTTGACAATTGAGTGAACCATAAGATCTGAACGTATTCCCTAGCAGGAAAGGGACTCTTTACCATGGACTGAAGAAGCTGAAAGGGGCAGGACTTGGTGGTGTCACAATCTTGACGTGGATTCCTCATCTCAGGATATCACAGAATCTATCTAAATATCTATCTATGCACACATACAAATGTCTGTTTGCTCTGATTTTAAGATATATGACATTTGCCATGCAGAGGACTTGGCAGTTACAAAGCTGAAATAGTGTGTCTGAACTCTAAAAAAAGGCTGGGAATCACTATAGAGGAACATGGAATGAATTTAGCTTAACCAAGACAGTCTGGGAAATTGTGAGTTCTCCCAGATGTAAGTTCCCTTGGAATAAGGAATGAGGTTGAAAATTCCCCTGCCATGGATTCTGGAAAGGTCAAATGAAATGACCTTGGGGCTAAATTCCATGACCATCTGATTTACTTCTAATTGTACTAATTGGTTCTTGGCAATTTCACCCACTCCCTTGAATTAAAAATTTCCAAATGCAGCAATTTATGAGAGCATAATTTTTTGTTCACATACTGTCCAAGTTCATTTTATGCCTAAAAAGTTGGTAGAATTATTATTGGTATTATTACAAAAACATTAAAACTCAGTCTACCATCATATCTTCACAGAGGCTAGAAATGCTGCACCATACTGTCCCCTCAAAGACAGTCCCCTTCACCTCCCCTTACCTATGGAATAACAGCCCGCCTGTCGATCTTGGTCTCTTCAGATATTCAACAAGTTTGTCGTGTGTGACCATCTACTCACCCCATATGCTTTTGGACTAGTCAGCAATTTGGAAATTGGATTACACCATTCTGGTAACGTGGTCGTGAGCGGTGGGCCAGAATGAGTCAAAATTGGTTTCAGATATCTGCACAGTCTGTTAAGGAGTATTTTCCAAAATACAGCAATGGAATTTCACTAGTTCAATTTACAATAAAGAAAAACAAAACAAAACAAAAACAAAAACCAAAGCCCAAACCTTTGCATTCAAATCAAATCAACAAGCATTTACCAAGCACCTACTGTGTGCCAGGCATTGTGCTAAGCGCTGGGGAGGCAAAGAAAGGTAAAAACCAGTCCCAGCTTTCAGTGAAAGAAATGAGCATTATACACAGCCATCAAACCCATTAACTCACTCATTCTGCCATCGTAAAGCTCACAGTCATTTACCCTTTTCCCCTGCAATTAAAAAAAAAAACTGAGGTCAAACCTTCCTGCCTTGATGTTTGCTCCTGCCTTGTTGGTAGCATTCCATAATCATGAGGAAAAAAGTGAATAAATTTGGATACTGTATTCAAAGAGAAATTGAAAAATATCTTAGTAAAGAGGACACTGATTATGCAATCAAAAGACCAGAGTTTCCTCTCTACTTCTACAATTTACTGTCTGTGGGCCCATCAGACTCTTAAAAGTCTCCATTCCTTCATCTGTACAAGGGGATAATAATGCTTGAATTAGGTTTTTGTGTGCAAAGCACTTCCTAAGAATTACATGATAATTTTGTTGTATGTTTGAAAGGAATAGCAAGTTGTGCATAGGAGATTTGCAATTTCATGTGTAATCATCTTTTTTATTGTACTATGTTATGGAAATGCTTGTTTTATTACATAAATTAATAAAAATAAAAAATAAAAGAATTATACTATCTGCTTGAGAGAGCTACCTTAAACAATAATGTAGATAACCCATGTTTTCTTAAAACTGTACACAAGGCCTTACTCTATAGTCATGCAGAGGCAGAAATATTTCATGAAATATTGAATAATTTCATAGCTGGGGAGTGAACATAAGTTGTTTCTCCAAACTACTTTGTTTGCACCATTCAACATATTCACTTTATACTTCATATACTTCATACCTCAATGCATCTCTATCTAAAATTATGCAAATAACCTGGTAACAGACTTATCCTATTGTCTAACACCTGTCTGTCCTGTCTTTATGTTCCAGAGTGCTCTATCAAGTTCAAAGAAAAACCTGCTTACGGAGAGACATTATGTTTTGCTCTAATCTATCAATAACAATCCACCTGAGAATCTCTGTGGCTGACTTCGCCTTTGCTGAGAGCAAAGTAGTGAAAGTGTTTCACAATTAGAAAAACATGGAAAGACTTGGCATGAAGAGAGAGGGAGACAGTTTGGAACTTAAAATGTAACAAAAAAAATAAATTTAAAAAAAGAAACTAGGTTTTAAGCTTTATGCTATTTGCTCTGTTTGGGGAATATTCCACCTCATTGGCTTCTTGACTAGGTCTGATAAATGAAGAAAGGGGAAGAGAAAGCATTTAATCCATGGTGGCTCCTCTTGCTGTTCCATCTACATTGTCTCCCATGTCTCCCATGGATGGGCTGATCTGTAGCTACCTTTTCCCTATCTCACCCTGCCTACCTTGCTGCTGGACAATGCTAGATTCTCATTCTCATTCCACATTCCTCTGGTCTGGAGTGGCTGTCCTACAGAAGGAGCAGTAGTGGTGAGAGGCTTCCTGGTAATGGGCACAGAGGAGGTTCATATGGAGCCTAGAAGTATCTGGGATCTCACTCTGGCTGAAAGTTATTTTCTCATAGAAAAGTCTCAAAGCAGGAGGAGCCTCACCTATGCAAACTTGTGCCTGAGAGAGAAGAGGGGCAAAGAAAATGTTTAATGAATCTCCGAGGGCCACAACCCAATCTGATTCAACAAACATTTATTTAAGCTCCTATGTTCAAGACACAGTTCTAGGTGCTGGGGATATCATTCTACTGAGAGTATTCTTTAAAAAACATCTCATGCATTTTTTTTAAGAGAAAGAGAACCCTAGAGTATTAGGGTTAGAAGGGACCTAAGGAATCAATCAATCCAGATCCCTCATTTTATGAGTAAACTGAGGTCCAGAGAAGGAAGCTCACTTGTATAAGGTCATGGAGTTAATGAGAGAGCTGGGACTGAAGCCAGATCTCTTTATTCTGCTATATCATACTGCCTCAATAAATGACTTTTAAAAAAAAAGTATTTCTATTCCCAACACCTAGAACAGTATCTTGCACAGAGGAAGTACTTAATAAGTGTTTGTTGAATTGAATCAAAATTAGGACCAACTCAAAGGTTGACACTAAGGGTCAATAAGAAGGATTGCAAATTCTCTGAGTTTCCATTATTACCTGGCAAGTATATCTACAAAGCTGAAAATCCTTAATGAATTTCCATTAATTTTCATTACAGAATGTGATTAGCTTCCATTTATGAATGAAGGAACTTAGATCGAGAGATGTAATGATTGCAAATAATCTAGAGGTTCCCTTAGGTCTCTGTGCCATTTGCCCTTACCACCATCATCAAGAATAATTCCAGCACTTGGTTGTACAAGATTGCACACCAGGTGTTACATAAAGGAAACCAGAGAACCAACTTCCTACCACCTAGAATTACAATATCATCTATTTTAGGTCTGGAAGGGATCTCAGGGGTCATATAGTCCAACCCCCTCATTTTATAGACAAAGAAACAGAGGTTCACAGATGTAGAAGTTAGCTCAAGGTCATAAAGATAGGCTCATGGCCAAGAATTGAACCCAGGCCAGGCTGGTGCTCTTTAGCTTGCCATCAGAGGTAGGCATACACATCAGGAGCTATCGGCAGATACAAGAGAATGTTGCACCAACAGCTGAATGAACTTTAAAAGTATTTACATTATACATAGTTCAAGGGTGAAGACCTAGTGATGGACTATACATCCCCAAGAACCAGCTTGCCAATTTGGGAGAGGTTACTGGGTGATGAATTTTCTCAGTCACACTAACTCACACAGACCATGCACCAGGGGCTCATAATCTACATTGGTGGAAGGACTAGTGAAAATATTGATGTAAAAATACCAAGGCTAAATGCATTTTAAAGGAGGAGGATGGGGGAGGGTAAGTGCATGATTGGAAGCAGGTCAAGAAGACCAGTCATGAAAATTCCATTCAAATGCAAGGAACTGATTTTTCTCTGAGTAACCTTTTCTGTAGATTTTTAAGCATTGGAGTTTTGAGAACTATTTAAATCAGAGAAGAAAGATGGCATTCATGGCTAAGAGTGAAGGAAAAGGGAGGCAAGTAGTTTAGGCCTATGATGAAGTTTCAGATTCAGGAAAGCAGTGAGTGATGAAGGTAGGTTTTGAATAAGAGCACCATTGAAAAATCACAGGGAGGGGAAGGAGTGATTGAAAGAGTTTTTGGTCAAGAGTTCTTGAGGAGACTGCCTGACACCCAACTGAACAAACCAGTGTTGATTGTTAACAACTGAGATGCTTAGCTGTAAAAAGTGGTGCAGTGAATAGAGTGCCTGGCCTGAAGTCAGGAAGACTCATCTAACCTCAGACACAGCTTATGGGTTGTGTCACTGTGGGCAAGTCACATACCCCTGTTTGCCTCAGTTCCTCATCCATAAAATGAACTGGATAAGGAAATGGCAAACCACTCCAGTATCTTTGCCGAGAGAAACCCAAATGGAGTCACGAAGAGGCAGACACAACTGAAAATAACTTGAACAACAGAAGCAAAAAGCAACTGTGGAGCAGATGAGTTAGTTTAAAAGTTGTGTTCCCTGTAGGTCTAGGGACTAGACCTGGGGTTTTATAGGTATAGAAAACTTCCTCTAGTAATACAGGTAGGCACCTTCTTTGTGTCCTATAGTTTTAGCCTAGGGCATTGAAAGGTTCATCAGTTTGTCCAGAGGTCTCACAGCCACTGTGTCTCAGAGGTAAGATTTGAACCTGGGTTTTCCCATAGGACTAGGTGATTTTTGGGAGACAGGCTGTTGGCTATAGCATTTTTTCATGATGGATTTTTTGGCTTGTTTTTTGAGGGAATGGTGATAGTGAGAGGGCACAGAGGTCTGTATTCCCACTTGAGATCCAGAAAGTATAGAAATTGAATGACCTGGAAGGTTTATACTACATTTTTCTTCCTGTCTTAAGCATAACCTTATTCTGTGGGCTCTATATGTGAGCTGATCTTCCTGTTTTCGAAGAAGGAGACAGGCTTGAGGAATGCCTCTATATACTCTACCTTATTAAAAAGAATAAAGAGTTTCTAGATAATATGGAGGAAATAATCCAAGAGGGAAGCCAAGGAGGAAACTATGTTCTGGGGAAAATGAAGGAAACCAAAACCAGTATAGAGACTGGTGAGTTGAAGAATGTGTCATAATAAAAAAAAAGAAATAAACTCAGAGCTGCTGGAGCTATGTAATTGATTCTGATAAAAGGTGAGCCTGGATTTCTGAAGAAATAGAAGCATCTAAGTTCTATGGCAAAATAAGCAGGTGCTAGCATATTAGAGGAAACTCACTTTTGGTCCCAGGATGATGAAGCAGTGGCTGAATGATCCCTGATTAGAGGCACTAGGAAGAGGCACAGTCTTCTTGGTGACAAAGAGCTTGTGATGACTTGCTAAGAATGTTGTTTCAGGTAGAATAGATCTCTGGTTATTCTGAGGTCCTGGATGATAAGAGAAGGACCTGGGAGCACAAGTGATTTTTTCATTTTTTTTTTTTACTAGTTAAAGATTGTACCTTTGGAAGGGAAAGGAAGATGGGAAGTGCACAGCTGGCTGTGCAGATGGCACTGATGAATTTTTGGACTGTGGCTTAAGATTCTAGAATGATGGGTTCCTGGTAAGGGAAGGAGTTCACCTCATGAGGCCTGGGAAGAATGTATTTGGCAGGAAGCTGGTTGAACTAATCATGAAAACTTTAAATTGAAATTTGAGAAGGAAGAAAAATGCTCAGATAAATCTATAAAAATGGATGCGATGTGGAGGAAGACAGCAATTAAGACATAAAGTAATACCTGGCTTATATTTTTATAGCTCCTTACAAAGTATTTCCATATCTCATGTGGTGCTCA